ATTAAACAATTACGCACTAATGGAACCCTGTATATAATTTATTTTAATTTTAAATTTTCAGGAATATTTTTATTTTAGATGACAATGAGAAACTCTTTGTTTTATTGTATTTATTTTATCTCCCTATTTTTGTTTATTATAACGTTTAAAAAAATAATGATGGACTGTGGCTTGGGGGGGGGGGGGTAATTACCACCATTGCCCCCTCCCCCTCCCCCTATCTACGCCCTTGATGTGAACAAAAAACTTTATTGATATATATTTTACAGTTTATCGGTTTTCTTTTGAACTCAATTTTTTTAGTCCAGAATAATAAATAATTATTGTAAGTGATCATCTGAATACACTTCTAAGAAAACCTTCCTAACATTTCTTGTGGTCTATTAATTCATCATCAAGTGATCAAAAATAAACTTATTGGATATTTTTAACTTTATTACAAAAAATATTATGTCAGAGCTTAATTAGGCCAATTTTTTTAAATTCGACTTTGGGATTTATGCAAAAATTTATGTCTAGACAATAGACGCTCATTGAACTTAATTTAATATTAATTAAATTCCCTGATAATATATCTGTTTATCTATTTCAATTATCTTATAAATTTAGACTATAATGCTTTTATAATATTTTTTGCAATATTAACCGATTAAGATAAACTGAAATAAAAAATATTGTTACGCAGGTTTTTGGTATCTCAATTTATTTCAACTTAACTTTTTACAACAAACTCATGAGAGCGTTCCTATACTCTCCTACTTACCTGCTTCATCACCAGTGTTGCCAGACGACCACAATCAAATTGTACAATGCTGTAGAAATTATCTTTCTTTTTTTATCATAATTTTATCGTACGAAACTGACCTTACTAGTGTGACGTTATCGGAGGCTTATTAATTTAAGAGTTTATGGGGTTAGGGTTATTAGATAATAATTTTATTGAATAAACATAAAACAACATAAAACATAGCAACCTATTCTTCTTCAGCTAAAGTTTTAAATATAATTTCTTTTTCTTGTAATCATGTAACCCTTTCTGATTTTAATCTTTAAATTTTTTTTGTCTATACGTTTTTAAAGATTTTTCATTTCATATGTACCTAGGTTTAAAACTTACTTATTTCACGTATTTTTTTATATAAAGTGACAACTGGTCAAATTTTCTAAAATTTTGGTATGTTACTGTAGTAAACCTAGTAACCAAAAGTGTAAATAGGCTCCACTTAATCCTATGACTTGTTTTTGAAATTAAAGTTGAAAATTGCCTAGTTTTTCGATATTTTTATTTTCAATTTTACGAACTAGATTGAATTTCTGTTGTATAAACACACGTTTTCTACATGTTTTAGTAATACATTAGTACATACGTATAATTAAAACTATTTTTATTTGCAGGGTGATTCACAAATGTATGACGGTAGTTTTTCCAAAATCTCACTAATTTTACTGTGACGTCAGGGAAGAATATTTTTAAAAAATTCTACATAATATGGTATTTTGGCAACAAAATTTTATACAATACATTTCCTATACAGGGTGTTCTAATAGTTAGATTAGTCTGTATATTTTAAAATCTTATGGTTACAAACCTACCTAATGTAATGATATTAACTTACTCAAAAGTCACTAAAAAAATTAAAGGTCGTCTTTTTAATGATTTCAAAACATAATTATTTTTTGGTGGTTGGCTCATCCTGTATAAAAAAAATTAATAAAATAATTTCTCTGTGGCGCAACTGTAGTTATTCAGTGTTTACAAAAATATATTATTATTGTGATTTATTAGGGAAGCACTCCGTAACAATTATTTTAAACCATTAGCGGCTTGTGTCCAAAATAATTGGAGGTTCACAATTACATAATATAGATATGTATTAGTAATATGTAATATGATCTTACTATTTTATCTATTTTTATAGTGTTTTAAGCTCTACGATTTTGGGGAGTGGGTCAGGTTATTAAACAACTCATATGACTTTGAAAAAAAATATTGAACGCCACTATATTTAAAACTCTCTAGACTTGACAATCGATCAGTGATGAAAATATAGAAAATCACGAATCTTTATATTATAATTAAATAAGGTAGCGACAAATTCTAATTCACAGAGACTTAATTATTCAAATTTAAATGATTTATTGACTTATCTATGGTATAACAGGTAACAGGTAAGGAGTGACTGTAGAGGCCTTCTTGTTAAAGTTAAAGTTAAATCTCGTTAACTTCTCTCGGTGGTTGATGTATTCTACGTTCTTCCGAATTTCTTAACATGTAGCTTGTACGTTCTTCCAAAATTCATGTAGATACAGCTACTATTGAACTTCTGAACCATCTATATAATTTCTATCGACTTCTACTGAAACCACCTATGTAATTTCTATAGGATTTCTTTAGGACCATCTATATACAGCAAGGCTACAAGGAAAAAGGTAAAAATATAAAGAAAGGAATAATTCAAATTATTAAATGAATAGCTTCACAGAGACCAAATTTAATAGGAAAAGAAAAAGTCTTATTTAACATATTTAAACATAGCAAAGCATATTATCTATTTCAAACAAAATATATGAAATTATATAAAACATGCGCTCTTGTGTTTTTCAATATGTTGAGGTTATGTTTCAAATGTGACATTTTAATAAAGAAATTCTTGTACTAAATACATATTTTCAACAAAATATCGGTAGGAAACTTACCTTTTTTAAAAAACAGACGGTCATTAAAAATATTTAAGATAACTAGTACATCGGATGTCCTAGATTAAGTTCAAATTAAAATTCCATAATTCAACTTGCTTGTTGACGGATAAAAATGAAAATGACAATCCAAGTTTTGACACAAGACATAAACGACAAATGACGTTTGTGTAGAGATGTTGGTTTCAAAATAACGAAAACGGGTCTGGGTCAAATAACGAAATCGGTTTTAACCGTTACAAGATGTAGGCAAAAACTTTCAGTCTTCGGTATTATATACCTTTCTATACCTATACCCTTCTATAACACTGAAAGTTTTTCTACCTAAATCTGTATTGATATCTATGTTCCACAACAAAAAAATTTGAAACATATAAAAGACGGTCCTGTGCTCTCAAAGCCAGGTGTTCATTTCTCAACGGCTAATTACAAGTGTACGTGACCAAAAGCTCCCGCGCGAAACTGGTCGTACTACCAAATTTAACTTCCAAACTTTTAACTATTTTTGAAAATCAAAAATCCATTTCTTAATTTAAACCCATTCTAGTATTTTACTAACATATCAGCTAATATTATTAAAAAAATCTACAGAATATTGGTAGAATATTTTTATAAAATTCTCAAACTTCACTAAATTACATCGAACTATCTCGTACCTATTTAGGTATAAAAACAATATTCTAAATAAAAATATAAAATTTTCTGGGCCACTACACATATCTAAACTATATTTATCTTTAACTTTTATCGTAAAAATAATTCAATCTAAATACTTTTTAAAATAAATTAATACTCTAAAAAATAATTTGATCAGTGCTGACAAACATACTTTACTTCACTCTAGACTCATTTCAAAACTCCTTTTACATACACACATACTTTACATTTATACCTACTTGAGAAAATTACTTTAAACTTATTTAGAACCTTTATATAGGTACACACATATACTATACATTTACTTTACATAGGTACTTTACCTTAAACTTATACCTACTTAAGTACCTTATTCTAAACTTATTTACAACCTCTCGATAGGTACGCTTTTACTTTACTTTAAATTTATTTAAACCTCTTTGTATAAGGTATAAACATGCTCTATATATACTATACTTAGCTACGTTACTTTAAATCTATACCTATTTAGGTATCTTACACTAAACTTATTTTAAAACCTTTTTAATAGGTACAAACATACTACACATTCGTACTTTTTTAGGTACTTTATTTTGCACTTATTAAAAACCCTCTTCAATAGGTACATGCTAAACTCTTACACATTCTTAGGTAATTACGTTTAAATTTACTTTAATATACTTTCACTAGGTGCATATGCTATACTAATTCATAAATATTTTATGGGTACTCACTCATTTGATACTTATACATACCTATATAGGTATCTCAATTCATTTCATTCAACACATTTCATATTATTGTCGCATGTGTGATCTGATAATTGGCCAATTACCTGAATCATACATGTGATATACAGGGCATATATTTGTGGCACGAGGTCGGCCAACCAACTGTCATAAAAATGCGCAACTAATATTCATTCATACTTTGTTTTAATTTATCATATTCTTGCTTATACGCACCTATTATTCATTTATACTTTGTTTTAATTTATCATATTCTTGCTTATATGCACCTAATAGGTACTCATTCATACTTTGTAACGGTTAAAACCGTTTTCGTTATTTGACCCAGACCCAGACCCGTTTTCGTTATTTTGAAACCACCATCTCTACACAAACGTCATTTGTCGTTTATGCCTTGTGTCAAAACTTGGATTTCATTTTTATCCGTCAACAAGCAATCTGAATATTTGAATTTTAATTTTAACTTTATCTGGGACATCCGATGTACTAGTTATCTTAAATATTTTTAATGACCGTCTGTTTTTAAAAAAGGTAAGTTTCCTACCGATATTTTGTTGAAAATATATATTTAGTACAAGAATTTCTTTATTAAAATGTCAAATTTGAAACATAACCTCAACACATTGAAAAACACATGATCGCATGTTTTATGCAATTTCATATATTATTTTGTTTGAAATAGATAATATGCTTTACTATCTTTAAATATGTTAAATAAGATTTTTCCTATTCATATTAATTCTAGTGTCTGTGAATATATTCAAATAATAGTTTAATTTGTTCATTTCATAGTAAAAAGCATCTTATCTGTTTCCTATATACTCTTCCTGATTCCTTTTTTTATATTTTTACCTTTTTCCTTGTAGCCTTGCTGTATATAGATGGTCCTAATGAAATCCTAAAGAAATCCTATAGAAGTTATATAGATGGTTTCAGTAGAAGTCGATAAAAATTATATAGATGGTTCAGAAGTTCAATAGTAGCTGTATAATAATAATAATAATAATAATAATAATAATAAACGTCTTTATTATACCAGCAAAACAACATTTACAAAGTATAAATGGCGTAGTCTAGCCAAATGGCCATTCAACTTAACCATATCACAAATCCTAAAACTAACTTAAACCTAACCTACTTTACATTACGCTGAATGTCTACGGATGAATTCAAATTTAAATTAAGAACAAGAATTAAATAAAACAAATAAAATAAATAAAATAGAATATGAATTAAATATTTTCATTTGCTTGGCTACCAAGAAAATATGATTTTAACATTATTTTAAATGAACTAGTACTCAAATATGATTTTAAGTGTGTATTTAGTGAATTGTATACTTTAGCGACATTATAGCTAAATGACCGTTGAAACATGGCAGTTCTATGTCGTGGCATGGCGATAGTATGGCGATTTCGCAAATTTAAGGCATGTGCGTCAATCCTATACGTAATCCGTTCTCTTAAATATAATGGTGAATAAGCTTTTAATAAATTGCTTAAAAATAATAAGAAAAGAAATTTGAACAAAGAATCCATTTTAATGAAATAATATATCTATATATATATATCTACCATTTTATATAACACAGGCTCAGGTATGGTAAGAATAGGATTACCATATTACAATATACAATTTCCTGATATTCCTAATGAATATTCCGGACAAATTTTTAAAAATCCGAACAAAATAAAACTTCAACTTGAAATAATTACTGTTTTATTTAAAAAAGTACCTACATACCATCAAAAACTAAGAGCAAACAATTCCTCAGTTACAAAATCTTGAAATTACCGTAAGGAGGACATTAACTATAGATTTATTGCGAATATTAGACCAACCATCAATTTGAATCCCTACCGTGTTAGCAGTATGAATTTTTTCGTTCAGGGACTTTTTTACACGATCATATTCAGTGTTTAGTAATTTATTTGATAACTGATGCCTTAAGGGAAGTTTTAATGAAAAGCAGTTATCCAATGCTTATTTTCACCGAAGTTCGGCGTCGTTTTCGCGAAATATGGTGAATTGGTATATAATGGTAATGGTAAATGCCGTATATAATGGCAAATAACGGTAAATAATGTAAATTTTTTACCACCAAAATCGGTAATTTACTTTGTAAATTACGAGTAAATTACTGTAATTTATTTCTGATTATTTACGGTAAATTACCACGGTAATTTATCGGTAATTTACCAGTTCACATATCTGATTATGGTAAATAATGTAAATTTTTTACCACAAAAATCGGTAATTTACTTTGTAAATTACGAGTAAATTACGGTAATTTATTTCTGGTTAATTACGGTAAATTACGGTAAATTACCACGGTAATTTATCGGTAATTTACCAGTTCACATCTCTGTTCACTTCTGAAGATACTTATAGTGACAGTACCTAAAAGTGTGTAATATGAACGCAAAAAAGTGCTGAATATTTATTTGCTACATAGGACTTTGAATTTTTAGTTTTCTTTTTACGGCTTGACTTTTGGTGCAAATATGATAGACATGTTTCAAAAATCTACAATTACGTGTTTGTTTTTAATTTTTCATGCATTTTTTATAAATAAATATTTTTTATGGACCTGTTGTCCTATATAAATATATATTAAGGTACTATAATATACGTCCCTAATATACACAAAGTATATCTCTCGCTATTTCTATAGAGTGCGACTGGGCCTCCAGCCATCTTAATTTTCAGGTTCACTGAGACTCCGCTGTAATTTATATAAGGACTCTACAGCAGAGTCTCAGTGAACCTAAAAATTAGCAATGCGGGAGGCCCAGTCGTATTATATGGATATACAGGGTGTTTCTAAATTCATGCGACAAAATTCAGGAGGTGATTGCTCGTATGAAATTAAGATGGGTCTTTCCTATAACAAAATTTTCTCAGCCCACTCCTTTCTGAGATATCACCCTTAAAAAGTAAACACGGTAAATGAATTGTCATTAAAATCAATACAAATTTCATATAAAACTGGTTATAACGCATGAAATACTCTCTATAATCACATACTTTTTGGTATTGTTATAATGGGAAAAGCGGAGCAAATTCAAATATAAAATAAAAAACAAGGTGTCATGTTAAATAAATGTAATTTTGATATGTATCACTTTCCTGGAGAACCCAGAACGATAAAAATTATTTTTAAATTATTACCTTCTCTATTGTACATTTCGCTGTGAAAATAGATTGAAAAAATATAATAGTTTTGGCTCTACAGATCAAGGCGATACCGGTGTCCCGCCCTGTATGATGCTTATAATATTTATTTTAACTTAAAACATGTGGTCCGACTGACTAAGTTGTTTTATCCTTAGGTTACGTAAGTTGATAAAAAGTGGCAACATTGCTTGGAGGCTCAGTAAATACGTTTTATTTAGTTAGAGGAGGCGCATTAACATAAACAGCTCTAAAACATATGTCAAATGTATATAGTGGACGTTACGTTGACCTATCCAACTAATGGTGGTTGAATTAGTCTTTACAAATAACGGTGTATATAATGGCGTATATACGGTGGAGTTTAGGTAGGCCATTTATGGAATGGAGTCCCAGTAATGCCACGTAGCTAGATATATATATATATATATATATATATATATATATATATATATATATATATATATATATATATAAAATCAAACTAATTTATTGGGGGCAGCAGCAATATGTAATAAAGAAAACTCTTTAAAGATGATCCAAGCTTTCGGAAATTTAATTACTTATTTCCATCTTCAGGGAATCTATAAAAGGTGTGGTGTGTCTTCATAAGAACTTAATATTATTAAGAGAGTGAGTTACTTACATCTTTGTGAGGATGAATTACTAATAATGTTAAATATTTTAAAATTTACGATTGTGATGCACATACAGAACTTCTATTACACAGTTTTACAATATAAGTTTAAATTATTGTGTTTAAAATTCAGTTACATAGAATTATGTCGTTTGAAATTTAACTGTTATGTCAAAATTTATGTCATTAGTTGTTTATGTATATAAGTGTGTTAGATTAAATATAGAAATTACTAATAAGGAACTTAGTTAGGAAGATTGCTATGTACCTAAATTATTATTTAATAAATGTTTTATCTGAGAATGTAGTTTGATTAATTATTTCATCATCAACAAAACTGTCACTAATTGTTGTGATGAATGAAAGGATATTGTATAATTATTTCATCAAAAACAATACTGTCACCATTGTTATGATGAAAGGTTGAATAATAAAAGTTATAATCAGACTTGTATCATAAAAGGTGGTCATTTAAAAGTTAGATTTCATCTGTAATAATACTGTCACTATTATTGTGATAAAGGGTTGTATTGGTGTTAAGTAAGTATGAGTAAATAGCACTTAGATGTTTTATGTCAGTCCTTTTATTAATACAATTTTGATTTTGGTATATCCAAGCCATTTCTAAGAAGAGTCTTTTGGTATAATTGGATTCTGTGTCAAGAATCTTAGATGCATCATAGTCCATTCTGTGGCCTAAACTGTTAACATGTTCAGCCAAAGAGCACCTTTCAGGGTGTAACCGTGCGTCACTTCTGTGAGAGATTATTCTGTTACATAGTGATCTAGATGTTTCACCAATGTATACTTTATTACAATCTTTGCATGGAATTTGATAAACAACATTACATAAGGCCTTTAATGGTGTTACACCTGGAACATTCTTTAAATAATTGTGGTCGTAGAAATAATTGTGTACATAACTCGTTTGAAAGTGTATTTTATGCACTTGCCAAATATATTATCCATACAGATTAATCAGATTATTTTTTTACTTAACTTCAGTACATCTCTTACTACTAAAACTATTTTTATCAATGGAAAAAAAGGGCCGTGTTCTCGTATGTTTTGACGCATTTTCGGCCTCAGCCCATCGGATCCCCCCTCTAAATATATATGAATTTTTCTTAGAATTACTAATCCTACAATTCTCTATTCGTACTTGCTGACTGGGAAAATAAATACCGAAAATCGTCACTGTCTCCTGGACTATACAATAGATGATGATGAGAACTTCACAACAAATACATTTTTATGAATGGCTAGTTGGGGATGTGGTTGCACCCAGCATCTACAGGAGACAGTCCATTTTAATAAGCGTGCCTTAGGGCCGTACTCAATATTTGTTGGGGATTCAACTGTTAGAAATCCGCCAACAACCTTGAGCCCTAGATTAAAAATGCAAGAATATGTTTGCATCTTATAGCTATGCCAGCTTTACAGGAAACATCAACAAATATTTTTTTATCGTTATCACCATTTTGATTTATAATTTCTTTCATGGGGTGCCAAAGTCATACCAGATGCCTGCATACAGAGCTTAATTAATTTTAAGTTGACAATGAATAATGAAAAATATCTTACTTTTTTAATATTAGTATTTATATTATGTGTTTATCTGATGCTTCTTTTAAATCGCAACACAATAAATGAGTAGCATTTAATAATTTTTCGCCTTCACGGACATGTGTGAAAGCTGGAATCGCTTTTATTTTTATGTTTCTAACAAACTAAGTCTAATATTTATATTTAGGAAAATAACCCAAACAAAGAATAGAACAACAATTATTATAGAACCTAACTTCAAAAAACAAACACTGATTAATCGATAAACCACAATACACCGTATGAAAAACCACTTTAACTTTAGCAAAGACTAAGGTTATGTAGGTTACTTTCTTCGGGCGAAATCAGATGATCAACAGCGCGCGGGCCGCGGAGGAATCTTACTTTGAATCGCCTATAATTTTCGTCTAGGATGACCCATATTTATTTTTTTGGGAGTCTGATAAGCATGAGTATCTTTCTTAAATCTATCAGTAGAGAATGAAATAGGTACGATGATTTAAAAATTGTAACTTACTATTTATTATAAAAACAAACTTTC